CACACAGGGATGATCGACCGGAGACGCTAAGCTTGGCTGAGAATGAGGAGTTGTTTCAGTGGGTAGAGAACATTTCCTTGAGAATATATTGCTCACTAGACATGTATTCAGCGTGCTACACCGGGTGGAACTTACCGATAGCGTGGCCGACAGGACATCATAGGGAGATGCGTGCGAGGCTGTATCTTTGGAGTTCAATTTCAGGCACACCCCCCCTCCCACATGAACACTACCCACTGCTGCATCCACTTCATCAACATGTCTTGTGTGTTCATGGAGACCTTAGCTTGCCTCATGAAATTCAGGGCTACGAGCCGTTTGCAAACTTGCCGTAGCTGATCTTGATATCAGGAAGCGCTCGGTTTGCTCAAGTACTCATGCAAGATGCAGCAAGAGCCCTTCGGTAATGAGCCGCGACAGACCTAATGAACCACACTGTGCCCAACGATCTTCCTCTGCCTTCGTCGCTTGACAGCTTAAGAGCACAGATTTTGCAAGCTTTTGACAAGTGCCCTGCAAAGTGGAAACAGGCGGAAGGAGAAGGTTGGACATTGCAAATTGGTCTTAACCCCAGGGATCTAAGTAAAATGTGTGTGGCTACGGCGCCCCTCCAACATCTTTGTGCACAGGTCTGCTCCTATATCGAACTCACCTGTCCTGGACATAAGTACTCTACCGTTGTGATACGAGACTCTGCGGGAAAGGACCTGCACAGAGATTTAAGAAACTCACACTACCCGCAAGCCGTATGGAGTTTGAGCCATTTTGAAGGAGGGGCCATTTGGATTGAATCACCCAAAGGCGATGTCCTCAAGGAATATTACGGGACTCAAGTAAGGGGCTGCAGTTGTGAGTTGTCACCGTTCAAGCCGTTACGTTTCACTGGGAAGACGTTACTACACTGCACCGAGCCCTGGACCCAGCGAAGAGTGGTTATGGTCGCTTTTACTGTAATGGGAGCAGCATCAGCCCCTACATGTGTTCGAGAATGTTTGGAAGCTGTAGGCTTTGTCTTCCCGTATAGTTTTGAGTGCGAAACCCATGCCATGCAACCGTTGGGGCCAGGTCAGTTATCGCAACAGCAGTTGTCATTTGCCACGGGAAAGAAGACAGGGATCTGGGAAGTTGGCAAACTTAAACATGACAAACCAGTGCTCCTGTTGCTGTCTGATAGTGAAGACGACCTCCCAGAGACCTGTCTGGATTCAATCGCATCCTCCACCCACAGGTTGGAGTCGCAGGAGAACGTTATAGCACCGGGGTGGAGACCTTAATGTCCGCTATTGTACCTTTTACTCCAACGGGTATGTTGTGTGCAAGACGCAACTAAGCCAAAAGGTTTCACCTTTCCCAGGGAGCAGTCTATTGAAGTCATGGCGCTATTAATTAATCTTGGACTAGGTGCCTCCTGTCTCTCTTTCCTTTCTTCGCTACCACCGATACCCTGTGTCCCCTCCCTTTTTCCAGTATGTTTTAACCCTGTCCCGGTTGGTTTATACGCAGAATGCTGACATTTAGGCCGTATACATGGTTCAACTTTGGAGTTAGGCGTACCCTAAAAACCACTAACCCTCGCCGCCGCTGCCGCTATGGAAGAAGCTCTGCAAGCTGGTGGAAATCCATAATGTGAATTGGTCGAATTGCATGGTCTGCATGATCTGAACTCTGCATGGGCAATACGACTTGCCGGTGAGCTCAGCTTACTGCATGGGCTCACGATCATCCTCAGGTGCGAAAATGACGTTCGTGGACAGCCGAGAGTCGTTGAGGTTACTGCATGATGCATGATGCATGGATGATGGATATTTCGCCAACGAAGCCATTTCCAGTGAGCCTGCAAGATTACACAACTCTGTCGGTGTGGTATGTCCGTCCTATGAGACCTTACCTTGGCGCAGCTGGAATGGCATTCAACCTGCCCATTTTGGGCAAGAGTTTTGCGGACTGTGGAAGTGAGCTCACCCTACAGAGGGAGATGGTTACACTGCAATCGCTGCTGCTGGTTAACGTGGGCTGCACCACCGTGTAAAGTGTGATGGTCACACTACGATCGCTGCTGTTGGTCAACGATGGCTGCATCGTATGCGGTAAGATGTCTACTACAACGGAAATAAAGTTGTGATGACTGCCCTACATGCCCAAGCTGGCGATTGGTTTGTCGTAACATTTTACGCGGTCGGAGCACTGTTCTGTGGAGTCATGGTAACAACCTGTGCGGACCGAGTACTTCTGAGTCCCAGTGATACCGTTGCATGCGAAGGCGCAATTAAGAATTCAAGCATGTAGCATGGAACGCTATCAAATTTAGAGGGTGTCTCATGACGTAGGTCACCCTCTTCTGTATGTTATGTGCAGTGCTCCGTTTCACAAGTATTACCAAGGAGGAAGCTTTGTATACCTGAGCCCTCCCGGCTCAACATGATCTTTATGGCCTCATATGCTCACCCTTGCCCTTTTATTGCCTCCTCGGCGTAGTGACT